GGACTACAGGTGACATTACATGGAAAACCCAGGAGTGGGATGTAAGAGTGGTGGCTGGGGCGCACTATTCCAATACACCAAAGACTGAAGAATGATCATTCTGACAGAAATGTCCAGTATAGAAAGGCTTTACCTATATTGGGTGCCAGTAAACCTCCTTACAGAAGGCTCTCTAACATTTCATGTAATACTGGTTTGGTGTTGATGAACTCCTTTAGCTTTTCCTTGTCTGGGAAGCTGTTTATCTGGCATTTGATTCTAAATGACAACTTTGCTGAGTAGAGAAATCTTGGTTGTAGATCCTTGCTTTTCATCACTTGAATATTCTGTGCCAATCCCTTCTGGCCTGCAAAGTGAAATGCAGTTAACTTTTTCTTGACAAATCAGCTGTCTTATGGGAGCTCCCTTGTAGGTAACTAACTGCTTTTCTCTTGCTGCTTTTAAAATTCTGTCTTTAACCTTTGCCATGTTAATTATGATGTGTCTCCGTGTGAGCCTCTTTGGATTCATCTTGTTTGGGACTCTGTGCTTCCTGGACTTCTATGTTTATCTCCTTTACCAGGATAGGAAGTTTTCAGTCAGTATTCCTTCAAATAGATTTCCAATTCCTTGTTCTCTCCCTTCTTTTGGTACTCCTATGATGAAAATGGTACAGTTGATATTGTCCCAGAGGTCCTTTAAATGATCCTTTTTTTGGATTTGTTTGGCTGTTCTAATTGGATGTCTCCTACCTTATCTTCCAAATGGCTGATCCAATCCTCTGCTTCATGTAATCTGTTGATTTCTTCTAATGTATTATTCCAATTATTGTAGTCTTTACTTCTGAGTGGTTCTTTTTTATGTTTCCTATCTCCATTTTTATGTTTCTTATCTCTTTGTTGAAATTCTCCCTGAGATCACTGAGCATCCTTATAACCAGTGTTTTGAGCTCTGCATCTGGTCTTCATTTTCTTTATTTTTTTTTCTGGAGTTTTGTTCTGTTCTTTCACTTGGGACACGTTTCTTTGTCTCCCCATTTTGGCTGCCTCCCTGTATTTGTTTCTGTGTATTAAAAAGGCTGCTATGTCTCCTGGTCTTACCTATAGTAAGACTGTATGTAGTAGGTGTGCTGTGGGGCTGAGTGGCACAGTCTCCCTGGTCACCTGAGCTGGGTTTTCCAGGTGTATCCCTTGTGTGGGTTGTGTGTACCCTTCTGTTGTACTTGAGCCTTGGTTGCTGTCTGCACATCAACAGGAGGGATTGACCTTCAGGGTGAATGGTTGTGAGGACTGGCTGTGATTACAGTGGAGGAGCTGTTTGTTGTTCAGGGGCTGACTTTATGCAGCAGGATTCACTTTAACAGGGCTCTGGTGCCTGCCCAGTTTTCCTTTGGGTGTGTTGGCCCCAGAGGCATCTGGGTGGATCTGGCTGGATCTGAAGCTGGCCACTGAGCATGCCACCCCTGGACCTCCTGGGAGGGTCTCCACCACAGGCCAAGTTCAGCTGCAGCCCTTGCCCTGCCTGGCACCACCCAGCATGAACCACAAAGCAATCCACAGATGGTCGCCACCCATTTTGGGCTTGGAGGTGCCTGGAGAGGCCAAGCTATGAATCAAGGCCAGCTGTCACTAGTACCGGGCTTAGGGCTGCTCCCCCAGAGTCACGGGACTCGCTGAAGCCAGATGATGCTTGTTTGGGTTTTGGGAACCTTTGAGAGATTTTAAGAATGTCTGTAGCATGAGCCAAGACAGACCTTTTATACAGAAAAGCCGCTGGAAGCAGCTTGTGTGGGTGGAGTGGGATCTCGGAATTACCATGGCGGGGCAGACAAATGATGCTAGCCAGGTTGATGGAGACTCAGATATGGTGCCCACCTGTGTCTGCACTCTGGAAGTGGGAGGGCTCAACAAAGAAACAATGGCTTCTGCCAGCTCCTCTGTCCTAGAAAAAGCTTCCAGACAATCCAGTTCCTATCCATATGTCCCTGGTGCCTTTTGAGCTTCTGCCCCAGCGCTGGAGCTCAGAGTAAGCCTGTCAGCAAGTAAGTCTGTGCACTGGCCATTTAAGAGGAGCACCTGGGACCACAGCCACCCTTGTCTCACTCAGCCACAACCTCCACTAGTTTTCACAGCCAGAAGTTATGGGGCGTTCTCTCCCTGGCACTGAAACTCTGGGCTGGGAAGCCTCGTGTTGGAGCTAGGACCCCTTGTTCCTCCAGGAGGGGACCTCCACAGCTGAGATCTCTCTCCCAATTTTTAACTGCCACATGTGGGTGTGGGACCAGCCCGTTCCTTGTCTCCGCCCTTTCTACCAGTTTCCAGGTGGTTTCTTCTGTATTATCCTTAGTTATAAGACTTCTGTTCAGCTAGACCTCTGACAATTCTCAATGAGGGTTCTGTAGTTTAGTTGTAATTTTGATGCGGTCATGAAAGGAGGCAAGCGGTGTTTACCTATTCCTCATGTTGACAGGAACTCCACAAAAATGTCTTGATTACTTCAATAGCCATCATATCATCTAACACAAGCCCAAATTATACAAGAGTGCTAAGCAACCTTTTATGTTACACCCCAGTCAAGTGTAGTTCCTGGTCATTGTTATTAGAATTCATTACCACTTTGACTAAGGTATAATTCTGCAAGTCACTGGCATGAAGGCACTGAAAAACAATGACTGATGTTTTTGTTATTAAGAATGACTGATAAATGACTTTCATGACAAAAATTGTAATTATAAAATAAAAAGTAAAATATGCCTGAGAAACAATTACCTGAACTTGAATGCATATGATAAAATTGACTCATATGTATGATTAAATGAAGAGAATCACAGTTTATTTGAAAATCCATAATTATAAGACATTTTAGCATATCCTCAGAAAATGACAAAATACAATATTTGTTAGCACATGGCTTAGAAAACAAGCACTATTAACAGCATAAGGTGTTTCCTATACAAATTAGACCTTACACAGATATAATCTAGAGAAGAGGGGAATCAGGCAATACTTCCAAGTCTAAAAGTCTGAATTAATTTCCTGGTGGACACAAGAAGGCTGACAGAAAAATCCAAACTCTGATGGATCTTGGGAAAACATCAGTGGAAATTTATAGCTCTAAGAAAGTGGAAATCAAACAGTTGGTGGTGGTTTTGAGGATAGTCTTGATTGGAAGGCAAAGAATCTGGAAGATGGGAAAACTATTCTGTCCTCAAAGGGCATATATATATATATATATATATATATAGATAGATAGATAGATAGATAGATAGATAGATAGATATAGATATAGATAGATAGATAGATAGATAGATAGATATAAATATCTTTTTCTGTATGGTGGTTTCAAAATCTGACTAAAGTGTTCTTTGCTTCACCCTTGCAAATCTCATTCAAGTGAAGCTACTGGTGAATTCTAAGATGAAACATTAAAAGGGATGGATTCTTAAAAAACTATTTCCTAACATTACCCACAGGAGTGATATCTTCAACTTTAGATTTTTTTGTCCCCTCACAGGTCTCTTTTCTTAAAGTCTATTCACCAAGTACTAGTCAGAATGAAGGATAAAAATGAAGGCCCAAATGTGAAAATGTTAATTCATACAAAACTATATTTTCATAAACTGGCCATACATAAAATTTATTCCAAGTGTTTATTAGTATGGAAAAGAGAAAAAGGCTTTTACAAGGTGTGATCAAACAATATGGTGCATGGGCCGGCCGAGTGGCGCGATGGTTAAGAACTCGCTTGGGATGCCAGAGGGCCCCGGTTCGGATCCCACATATGAGGGCCAGTGACACTGCCCTCCACAGCTATGATGCTGAACAACAGCTCAACCTGGGGCTGGGCTGCCATGAGTCGCCGGCGACGGCGTGGGCTGCAGTCCCTGTGGCAGTGGGTTGCCATGGGCTACCGTGTGTGGCCAGCAGCCAGCGTGAGCGGCCAGCAGCCGCAGTGAGCGGCCGTCCAGAAGCCGGCGACTGATCTGCCTCGCCAGAGAAGAGCGCAATGATGGTGCCAACTTGGGCGAGTGAAGCAACATCCTCCACAACTAGATTGAAGAACAAAACGACAGCAACATGTCTGTTCCCCTTCCCCCAATTCCCCAGCACTGTTCCCATCCCCCCAATTCCCCAATTAAAAAACAAACAAACAAACAAACAAAAAACAATATGGTGCATGTTTAAATAAAAAAACTTATTAAAGTAAAAGGCACATTGCCATTAACCCCTCTCAAAATACTCCCCCTCACTTCGAACACATTTATCTCATTGTTCTTGCCAGTTTCTGAAGCAGTTCTGGAAGTCCTCTTTTGTGAATGTCTTTAGTTGCACTGTTGTGGCTGCCTCAATGTCCTGAATTGATTCAAAACATTGATCTTTCATGGTCATTTTGACTTTGGGGGAGACCCAGAAGTTGCACGGTTCCAGATCCGGTGAATAAGGTGGTACATGAGGACACACCTTAATATTTTTATTTGACAGAAATTGCCATACCAGAAGCGATGTGTGACCTGGAGCCATTCCGTTGTGATCACAAAATGTGGTGAGTGCTGCGGCCGAGTGCCATCCAATGGAAATGTAGGAATCTTCAATATGGGAAGCAGTGCATTGAACCTTAGTAACAGTGTGTGACAAGTTTCAACTTGTTCACTTGTGCAGTCAGTCAGGTGTGAGCTATGGTTGAGAGAAGGTGTTTTAAAGTGTGCCCTAAATCATCCTCCATCATGACAACACTCCGTGTTACACCTTGTTTCTGGTATATGGCAATTTCTGTCAAATAAAAACATTATGGTGTTTTCTCATTCACCTTATTACCAGAGCTGGCACTGTGAGACTTTTGGCTCTTCCCCAACGTCAAAATGATTCAGGACATCGAAGCAGCCACAATTGCTCAACTAAAGACACTCACAAAAAAGGACTTCCAGAACTGCTTCAGAAAGTGACAAGAATGATGGGATAAGTGTGTTCGAAGAAAGGGGGAGTATTTTGAGGAGGATTAATGGCAATGTGTCTTTTACTATAATAATTTTTATTTAAAGATTCACCATATTTATTGATCACACCTCATACACCTGTCCCCCCAAAAGAGCTATGTCAGTAAAAGAAGAAAAAGCAGAATATATACAATTAATGGACTAAGAATATCCAGAAACTCTCACCAAGCCAGTAATAAAACCCCAACAAATACCAAACTATCATTTTACAATGGTCCCTTACTTAACACAGAAAATAAAAACCAAAACATTATTAAAAACTTTATTTGCACATTAGAAATACACTTCAGCTCACCCAGGGATCTAAGAGCTTCAATATGGAAAGAGAAAATAACTCATTTAAGGAAGAAACTCTATCTTATAATCTCTTGTACTACTATTGAAAAGATGACTCCAAGAGGTATCTCACCTCAATATTCATTTCTGAATGTAATAAAAAATTTGTATTGAAGTGATTCACTTAATAAGCTTGATAAAACAATGTATTTACAACTTTAATAACAACTTTTTCTAGAATGTTATACATGGATTAATTTACATCAAGCTTTCTCATGTTACATAGTTTTATCTGTTTTCCCTTAGATTTTTCACATGTAAAAGATGTGTGCAAGCTGAAATCCTTCCAACACTGTTTATGTTAAATAGGTTTTATCCTGTGATTCTTTTCATGTTTTTGGAAGGAACTGGGATGACTGGCTTTCCCCCATTCTTCACATTCATATGGTGTGTCTTCAGTGTGCATGCTCACTGGTGTTCGCTAGTTTGTGTGTAAATGAAAGCTTTCCCACATTTCTTACATTTCCCACCAGTGCAATTTCTTTCATGTATTTGGAAACCTAGATGAGAATGGAAAGCTTTATCTCATTGTTTACCTTCATGGGATTTCTCTCCTGTGTGTGTCCTTTTATGTTTTTGAAGATACTTGAGGCAACTGAATACTTTTCTACGTTTTACATTCATAAGGTTTCTTTCCAGTGTGACTTCTTTCCTGTGTTTCTAAGGAAGTGTGATTGCTGTAACCTTTACCACATTGTTTACATTCATATGGTTTCACTCCTTTGTGTGCCCTTTCATGTCTTCAAAGATAACTGCGACAACTGAATGCTTTTCTACGTTTTATATTCATAGGGTTTCTCTCCAGTGTGAGTCCTTTTGTGTTTTTAAGGTGTAATCACCGTAAGCTTGACTACATTACTTACATTTATAGGGTTTCTCTTCTGTGAGTCCTTTTGTGTGTTTTTAAGGAACAATTGTATCTGTAAGCTTGACCACATTGTTTACATTCATAGGGTTTCAATCCTATGTGTACCCTTTCATGTCTTCGAAGATAACTGCGACAACCAAATGCTTTACTACATGTTTTACATTTATAGGGTTTCTCTCCAGTGTGACCTCTTTCATGCGTTTTTAAGGAACTGGAATCTCTGTAACCTTTACCACATTGCTTACATTCATAGGGTTTCTCTCCAGTGTGAGTCCTTCTATGTGTTTTTAAGGAACTATAGTATCTGTAAGCTAGACCACATTGCTTACATTCGTAGGGTTTCACTCCTGTGTGTGCCTTTTCATGTCTTTGAAGATCACTATGACAACCGAATGCTTTTCTACATGTTTTATATTCATAGGGTTTCTCTCCAGTGTGAGTCTTTGTGTGTATTTTTAAGGAACCAAAGTATCTATAAGCTAGACCACATTGCTTACATTCACAGGGTTTCAATCCTGAGTGTGCCCTTTCAAGTCTTCGAAGATAACTGAAACAACTGAATACTTTTCTACATGATTTACATTCGTAGGGTTTCTCTCCAGTGTGAGTCCTTTCATGTATCCTAAATGAACTGGGAGAAATTAATGCTTTCTCACATGCCTTACATTTATAAGGTCCTTCCTTCATGTGTACTTGAAGGCTTGAGAGATCAAAGTTTTTTTCACATTCCTTACATTCATAAAGTTTTTCCCCAGTATGAATTTCTTCATGTACTTGAACAAAACTGGAATTGAAGGCTTTATCAGATATTTTATGTTCATAAGGTTTATCTCCATTGTGCTTTCATGTTTTTCAAAACACTGAAGGTAACTGAAGTCTCTCTCACATATGTCATATTCATGTGGCTTCTCTCCATATTTCTGATATTCAGAGGGCTTGTGTCCAGTGTGACATCTGATGTTCCCATTCTGAAATGAAGGCTGCATTAAGACATTTCCACATACACTGTTTTCCCATGGTTTTACTCCACAAGTTTTCTTGTTCACATTTTGATTTGGAATAAGGGTCAAGATTTCTCCATATTGACTACCCTCTTTCCTGTCCCAGCTTCTTTCTATCACATAACTTCTGTAAAAGAACATGAATCACATTATTAATGATTTTATATTTATTAGAATATTTGAAATACATTTTTATGTTTTATAGCAAAGAAGTAGGTTTTCTGCCTTGTCTGAATGATTTGAAATTGAATACACTGAATGCTTGGTAAGAGGACTTCAGTCTTGCTATTATCAAAACAGTGATATTCATATACAAGGTTTATTAATGATGTTTATCTTTTGAATTATTTTTCAAACACTGATCATAAATTTGAGAAGAGTTTTGGTTGTTTATTTTTAAAATCTCACAGCATAACAGGTTTTTCATATGAGACAATGCTTTCTATTGTGTGATTTATCTTCGTTCTTTCTCCTGGTGTTTGTACTGATCTTCAATATCATGACTTTCCCATTTCTTTCCTAAAATGCAGATGCAGAAAATTGATTCCAAAGTACTACAAATTATACAAAATTTATTAGATTCTAGTTCTGTGATGAGCTGTGACCATGCCCAGTTTATTTACCAATGTCCTCCATTCCCACATTACACCTTAGAACAGCTTTGATGAGCAAGAATCCAGTCCTCTAATTAACAAGGTGAAGGTAACTTGTCATCCTCACCTACTGAGGCCAGGTTCCTGAAGGTTTCCCACGTCACATCTCTATAGAATTTCTTCTGTGAAGGATCCAGTAAAGCCCACTCCTCCAGGGTGAAGGTCATAGCCACATCGTCAAAGGCCACTGAGTCCTATGACATCCCAAAAATATGTACAGTAAAATTTGTAAGACTGACAGCACTGGACACCTGTGCTCCATTTGTAGAAAAGTTACATATTCTGTCATCATCAAACATTTATCATATGATTTGATCAGAAACTTACTCTTTGTCCACACTTCCTCATTAATTCAACAGCATCTTGAACACATAAAAATTATTTATACATTTTTATAGTGATCATCTTATTTTTTTCTAATGGCAGGTTCACAGCATGTTGGGAAATGACAGAAATGCTATTTACACAAATGAAACAAATTTCATTTTAAGACTTTCATCTCCTCAATGAGGCAGAGGGTCAAATCTACATGATGCTTCAATGAATAAAAAACAGTGAAAAACTAGGGACTTTTTGTTTTATTCCCATTACCAAACATGAGAATCTTGGAGGCCTGTGGCAATTCCAATATTAACAAAACGCAGATAAATGGCCATATTATCCTAAAGTCTTCCAGACCATTATAAGTAATCAGAAGCACCTCGCAGAATAAAAATATTCTTATATAGAAGCATTGCTTTTACCTTGTGTAGTAGTCATCACAGACTCAGTTTTTTCTTTTGTGTCTCTTTCTGATTTAATGGGTTAGACAGTTATTTGAAATTTAAAACTCAGACATGAGGAAGAAAGCATGACAACACAGAACACAAAATCCCTATACTCATGTGCCTTAGGGCTGTTTCTATCCCATTACTGGGGGAGAGAGAGAGAGAGAGAGAGAGAGAGAGAGAGAGAGAGAGAGAGAGAGAGATGGGGAGAGAGAGAGGGAGAGAAG